AGCGATAAATGGATACAGCGCACGCATGATTTCGATATTTGAAAGTTAATTAAGGTTTCTGGAAAATTGAATTCTGTAACAGTAATATATAAAAAAAAAATGCCCAGGCAAGAAATTTGAAGTTGAGTATTGTGGAACGCCATAATGACATTCATTGTCGATGGTCACCCGGCACTATTCGGACCGCCTCTGTCACGTCTCGTGCATTGCAATGATTTAGTGAACTGTTAATGCATTGTTGTATTTATAAATGGCGGTGTAATAATGGATCATGAATGTTGTTTATGAACAATTCGTCACACCTTGGCGATGTAACGATAATTTTCAATGGTTAATAACCATTACGGCATTAGTCTTGGACAATAATACAAATGCGTGCATATATTATTTTTCAACATTCATGCACGTGCAACGTGCTTTTCAAATTCCACCCATGTATTGCAAATGTAACAAGAGAGCAGCTGTGGACGTATTTCCAGACTTTTTCACATACATCCACATTGAAAACAACACAAACTCTGACTCATCTTCCAGAAATTATGACATTAGCTGTGGCATCGACTTGTAGATGAAATGGAAACGAGGCATCACGTGACAAATTGTACATGCATAATAGAACAACATTATACAAATAATGAGATTATCTAGGCTTCGTTGTTCAAAAGTACTGAAGTAGACACGAAAGAACTTTCAATTAATTGAATCGTAGTAGAATAGATATTATCAACACTTTAAATTAATTGAATCGTAGTAGAATAGATAAAATCATCACATGTTTGTTTTCTTTGGCTAGGTCATTAACACGGAATTCAAAAATGTTTACTCAGGTCATCGTTATTTTCTTAACTTTTCTCTCCCCGTAGAACGCACACTTGTTGATAATCTAAATTGACCAATAGTAGAACGTTTTATATAACATCACCCCCAGTTTTAATCTATCAAACCAAGCAAAACCTATTTTGTAATCTTGGATGTTTCAATGAATGTTATCTACTAATTGTGATAAATATAACTGTATACTATTATGTACTTACAAAATACATAGTCGGACTTGTGTTACCCGTGCGCAACTATCTTCTCATAAACTTTATAAAAAAACTAGAAGAAATATTGCAGGTAATGGTTACACACAAGTGTGACAAAATCGAGATTGAATTTGAATTGCATTTTATTTCATTGTCTTAAATACTACGAAAAAATTATAGAATAAAAGTTATACAAAAATGATAAGAAACCCTTAATGTTCAACGGGTTAAATCTGTTAACGTTACTGAATCTTATAGAATTCAGTTTGTCAGGTAAATTCTTTAGGACAGCTAGTAACTTAGAACCAATATGACTGACCTCCCATCGCGCATGCCTGCTCCATAACTAAATTGTATACATGTACCTGTGTAAGTAAAAATGTCTCATTTCCTTATTGATTCGTATATGTATAATACCGATGACCTTTACACGAACTATGTATCGAATTCCCTATACCATGACTTTCAATCTCATCATGGAAAAAGAATTGATCATACCCAGTTTCAGCTGTGCAATTTGGTAAATTAGACGTTAAAATGTCTGCATGCAGGTACCCGCGTGCTTTTTATCTTAGCTTCACTTCCTGGAAGTCTGGTACAGTGTGAGGGCATACCATGTACTGGGTTAAAATACATTCCATATATAGAATATTGGTGTGAGCGTTCACATGTAACACCAGAAAGTAATAAAGGCATGGGACCATTCTATTCTGAAACCAGAAACATATAAATCTGTGGCGATATCCATTTATAAGTGGAAACACTAAATCCAGATGTATGCTATAAATCTCCATCACGATCATCCGATCACGACTGAAGCTGTTATTTTGGATAAATATACATCAAGAACAACAAAGAATAGAATATGTCCAGTAATGTCATTTTATTAAATGACGAATAACATGGCAGACATGGATAACAACAATGTCAACCATGTTGCATAAACATATTTACAAACATAAACAATATCTTAAATATATATCAAAAAGGTGGAGCACGAGAATACACCACAGGACTGGAATGATGTTAACTAACATCACTCCAGTCCAGCGCCACCCCCCGAAGTATCCATTTATAAGTGTAAACACTAAATCAAGATATCGGACAAACATTGTGTATAGCAACGTCCAGTTATGACGTCCAGACCTGGAACGACGCCAAACAGAGTGATGAGATCATGTTAGCTTTGGGTAGTGGTCAACCGCACGCCATGATTCATTATTGTCTGCGTAAAAAAAGCATTGGATCTCTGTCAAAACAACCTACTCAGCGCTATTTCGGTAGAATGTTTACGCGTATGTAGACAATGTGAAGTTGTTGTATTGTCTGTTACAGTTTAGTTTCAATAGCATACTGTTCGGATGTACAATACTGTAATTGATATCACGTTTCGATTTACATCTGGTAATAGTTTATCTCTACTTAACGCAGAACTGTTGAAAAAGTAAGGTTTATCGGGACTAGAAGAGAAAGCCATGAGCTGTACGTGTGTATGCCAGTCTATCATCCATACCGTCGAAACCTGCCCCGGTATGGAACTACGATAGAGACACCATTGGAGCGAGATGTTCCGTTCATATATTGTGGCAGTCATATTGATTGACGGAAACACAGTTTTGAAAACGACCTCTGTAACACACATTTATATATTAATATGTTATGTTCAGTTACTAGAACCTTGATGGAATAATGATCGAACGCACTTTACGCAGGTCCGGGTTACACCAACAGTTATATTGGGGCCGTGACGCAGACATATATTTCAGAAAGTCACACTTTGACGCCAATGGCGTATCAGTTATCCCGTGCGTTGGCGTAGGGTACATCGCGATTAATTATTAGTGCAATTTATATGAATATTCATGAGTTGCTTATGCACGTGTACTTTTTCTTAGATAGAAATTATATTTAATAGTTGCTGAAGAAACATTGGCTTTGGCCTCATGAACGTGGTAACTTGGACATGACCCATTGTCATTTGAACCATAAAATACAATAACTGATTTATGTATATACAATTTACAGTAATTAAATATTTCAATATATGAGAAATTTTCTTTATTAGTAAATATACAAATATCCTTATAAGAAATAGTGCAAACGTTCTTGATTGTTACATACAGTATTATTTTGACGCTAATATATTGTAATTTGATCTTGTTATCACCAAACAGATTTATAAATTTATTCCCTTACATTATAAAGTATATATAAAGAGGTTCCCCAACGAGTGATGGTTGGGTATCATGTTTATCTAACTCCAGTTAGTAAACTTCCAAGTTGTATAAAGACAGGATGTTTACCGAGTGTTTTTTACGATTAAATAAACTAACGAGAGTTAGATAAACATGATAACCTACTATCACGAGTTTGGGGTCCTTTTTCTCCCATAACGTTCATATGTATATTTCGAAGGCCATTTGTTTCCCTTGAAAATACACTATGTCGGCTTCCGATGGGGGGGGGGGGAATCTTGACGTCACAATAGAAGATGACGTCGCAAAGCATTGCAACGTTACGTCATAAGTAAAAAAAAAACCTGACCAATGAAATCACGTCCATAGTGTTATCCATTAGTGGGTACCTAAATCTGTTGACCAACTCCTCATATGTTTATTCGACGAATCGGGAATGAGGAAACCTAGAGTGGTTGTGAGAGAAATTTCCTTCTATAATGGTATTTTGTTGTAGATATATAACATCTATTCCAATGTGATGACGTAACTATCAGTGATATATAGCTACACCTCAAATCCAACATATTATCGACATATTCAATCCGTGCAAATACGTCTTCAATGCATTACGGCCTTTGTGAAACTGTTACATGTATTTAAACCTGAACCGCATACAATCATTTCCAATGTGTTAAACTTGATTTGATGGTCGAAAATTACTGCGTAGTTAGTTCCAATGTCATACAAAAAGTGCAAATCAGTATGCGTACCGTTAGACATGCTGGTTGAATCACATTTTTATCACGTTTTCAAAACTGATTAACTTGTGCTTTCCTTGGAACGATGTTCCACTTGCATTTTTCATTGTCTTTTTTTCAAGATTTATTTGGAAGCTTTTAGCGTAAAATGTTATCGATTTCTTACAGTTTCGTTACAGAGTCAGACTAGTGATAAATGTATCCCCAGAGTCCTATTTTGTAGGATCCGAGCGGTGAATATTACGTGGTTGACTGATGGTATTGACATTTTCATCCTGTATTCGGAGGAAGTGTTTTGTAGTACAGGAGGAACAGCTTCCGCATTTACCCTAGAAGCTTGTCACATATTTCTTTGCATGCTAACACATATACATATGTATCTGTGTTATGTTTTTGTCTTGAATCATCAACACGTTTAAGAAATTGGCAACATAGCAGTGTCGCGCGTTAATGGATCGTTCTGATTGGTTACCTAGGTGTTGTTGTTTAACGTCGGAGCTCGCGCAATTTTATGTTAACCAACGAAATCATTTATTATTATATATCATACAGGCTGTTTGTTTGATGCGCTGTTAATAAGTCGTCGAGACGTGTATGAGAGCAAAATGTATATAAACCTGGGTGAATATGAGACTGCATCACACTTATTAAACACTACGTATTCAGGTCGAAGCAGTCACGTTTTGGCGCCAGGGACTTTTGCGCTTTGATACAATGAATTATAATTTGACACATACAATTGAGGAGAGTAGGATCGCTATGAGATCACTATAGAGACATGCGTTTGAGCAATTTGAAGATTTTCTAGATTTGCACATTGTACTGAATAATTATCATAAGTAATATTAGGCCATGATAATGTTAACAAGAAAAATTTTTACCTTCTTGTTGTTTTTCTATGTACAATACATGTATATATTTCCATGTATTTTAACCTCAAACTAACTACATTGTAACTATAATTGTGCAGATGAAGAGTTTTTCATTTGACGCTGTGTGTGATCAATTTAGATTAATTAAGCTGCTATTTATAATTACAGGCGATCGAGCTCCCTTTCCTGGAGGCTGTGAAAATCACACTAGGAGACCGCTACAGTGATAATATGGACATAATCTACAAAAAAACAATCAAGTTTGTTCTAGAAACGATGGTAGAGGGATACGACACGTCCAATACTGTGTCCTGAGGTCACGTGATGATGACCATGTCTGCTACGGACATACATCGTGCCAACATGGTAATAGACAAGGATGAAACAGTGGATCTAGCACGATTTCTCCGGAAATTTCCCGGAAATTTGGCCTGCTGGCACGTGTAGATTGTGGCTATCAGGCTCGTGCTGGCTTTGTGGATCGGGATGTACGACGCAGACTAAAGCGATACGGTTACAAACAGCCCGCTAGGTGGCAGCAGGATACATCTAAATATGGCATGTCCCAACATTGTACAAGATATGGGGATACATGTCAGTTTTAGAGTGACCGACCGAAAATGGATCCTCGAATTGTTATAAATTTGTTAAAGGCATCCTCAGAAAGTAAAACGTCCATGGATGTTTGGAAAATGGCGTCAATGTGCAAACGACGGAATGATTGTGTGATGAGTTGTGGATATGGGGGTATATATGTATGTTTGAAGGAGTTTAAAGAGGCCTATGTGTTATATGTGGTAGAATTGTAGATTAAATACGTTATGTGTTACGTCATGTGTGACATCATACAATGTTGGAGTACTTACGTCGCGAATGACTTCCATCAGTATCCTCCCTGCTTATAATTATTTAGGTAAATCCTGCATAAATTATATGCAACCCATCCACGTCATCGTACTGCCCTTGTAGCCTCCCTTTACACACAGGAACCTCTGCATTCCCTTGTATCCATCTTCTATAAGGCTTAATGGTACAAATAAATGTTCAAATAGACATTTCACGTTATCTGTGGGGTCTCAACACCATAACGTGCATGTCAACGTGATTGACGTTTCAATATGTAATGAAATGAAACGCTGCGTTTTGGCGGCCTCTTCGTCGACATGAGCTTTCGGGATTTGCCAACAAACGTCACAGTCTCTAAGATAGATTGAAAATGTCTGTTGAATTTGTCCACGCAATATGAACTTATGGTTTATTTTGTATTTTAACAGATACGTAGGATCAGTTAAATCCCATAGCGTAATGTTTCCGTTTTGAATATCAAAGATATAAATTCAACCATGCCAACTAGTGTTGATACCAGTAATTACTGATCAGGTCCGTTATAGCGTTCCATTTTTTACATCTATCATAGCAATAAAATCGGAATTGTATAACGACACTTCCACGTTAGAATGACATTACTGTTGTGTGACCGCACAACGCACCGAAAATAGCGTGCGCACACCGTGCACACATCGTTCACACACCGTGCACACACCGTGCACACACCGTGCGCCCTCTGCACATCGTGTAACGTTGTGCGATCCCACAACTGTACCTTTTATGCAACTAAAATACACAAAGCAATGGAAGATATTACGATATGACTGCCATTAGATCTTCATCAAGATAACATTAAATACTCTTGAACAGTGCAGACAAATACCTGTGCTATATATTACATCATGTTTGTCCCTTATTTAGGTTATACCTTAATGTAATATGAGTGTTGGTCTGACATTATTGGTATGGTCTATATGGCTGTTAGATATATGCGTTTATATAACGTTTCTAAAATCATATTGTTTAAAGATCAATCAAGAAGGTCAGCTAAAATGAACGTCTAGACTAATACATCAGACTGACGTATTTGTCTAAATAAGACATAATTCTCTAGCTTTTTATCTTTACCTTTCCAAGTGACTCCATAAATCAACCAATGCGCATGCGCACATCCTACATTTTTATTCACCCTGCTCATAAATGCGTTTGCTACATTGATACATCATTATGTTCCCAATGCGCATGCGTTACTGCACTATTTTGGTCAATATCGCCCCTAGGCTACCATTGCATCCTCCTTCAAACTATTCGGAACACACGAGTGGTACATGTATGTCTGGAGTGGATTCGAATGGAGTTGACTGTAGAAAGGAAGCAATGCGAGATGATTGTGTTTTACCGTCGATGGTTATTGAATAATTTGTATATTTAAGTTTATCTAAACATTATTATGATAATATATATTATAGTTTATTTACAGAGAAAGTATTTTGTGTAGAAATAGTATGTTGTGTGATATAGCGTGGGTCGCTGCTGGGCTGTATTCCTTAGGATTCTTGTGATTGCCTTCATGTGTCGACCCTCGGGACCAGTAAGTGTACTGTTATTTATGGTTCCCAGCTGGCTACATATTGTACTCATGTGTATGCATAATATTGGGAACATTTAACCACAAAGAAATAAAAAGCTAGCGTAGCTCTCCAACGTGTTAATTTGTCTTAAAGCTAGCTTACATAGAGTGGTGTTATATATAAAAAAAAAAAAAAAAGCAAAAGCAAATGTAGCATTATTCAAGACTATAAAAATTGAAATAACATTAGCTTAAGCAATTATTTGAAAGCAATAAACGAAAAATCACGTTTGTATAGGAAGCCTAGTTTCAAGTTGAATTTCTATTTACATGTCAAGCATGTATAAATCAATACGATCGTACATATAATATATATTTTAAAACATAGAATGTATTTATGCCGAGTCAACATTGGCTTATTGGACATAAGTAATCATGTTCTTTTAAAACATGTTCTGGTTAATGAATTTCACAGACAAAGGCAACGCATCAATATACGTAGCGCTCACAACTATACATAACCAACAGACAGATAACCCACCCCCAGTCAGAGATTACCGACAGACTTTGATAACCAAAAAAGAGGTAACTTATAGACATAGTTTACCCACGGATATAGGTATCCCACAGTCAGAGAGTACATGTATCCACAGGCATAGGTAACCGGCAGACAAAGGTCACCCAATGACATAGGTAATTGATCTCAAGCGCTGTAGTTTTGACTGCATTCTAAATAAATGTACATGTATATGTCATTATCATCCGATGTGCCCAAAGCACATGTACATGCATTGTTGAAATATCTGAATATTGCAAATTTTCATCGAAAAACCCAACAAACAATAATCATAACTTCATATTAAAGTAAATTCTTAATCGGAACAATTTTGTAATTAAAAAAAAAATAAAAAACAGTTTACGAGTTCCAAGATCTAATAAATAATATAGTAGCAAATATATCCTATGTCTATATATAAAACGGCACAATGGCGTCACATATCGCATCACATGAAGCCAAACTGTTGAAGCGGAAGTAAAAAGAAAACCATTTCGTAGACACTTGTCGCTTCATGTTTTGCTGGTACATATATGAGAGTTTGCAACAGACTTCAGCTTAAATATTATTGTTGTCAATCCATAGTGGCTGATGTGCATTATTTTTCATGATTATGTTTTATGCAAACGAACCTTGCGATGTACCCTCTAAGCTCAAAACTGCACAAATTCCTGTATCTCCAAAACCGTTCCATCTGAAGTTGACTACCTAGTTCTGCCCAGTCTTTAGTTTCTGTACATAATGTTTATCGAAAACTAAATGAGATTATTCTTACAGTTAAGTTGTCTTTTTGATTATGCTAAAGTATGCAATTTTCGTTTGCAATCGTTTCTGAACGATGGTTACTGCACATATTTGTAAACGGGGCTTTGAGACGAATACACTACATGTGATTTTTAATTTCTTTAAATGAATAAAAACAAAGCCATCAGATATGATAACGTTTCAATATCGTTCGAATTTGTGCGGGAAATACATTGTAGCTCGTGATGTCGGCTGTTCCTCTGTTGCTGTTCACTTTATTGATCTGCTCTTACCGATAAAAACGGCGAATTTGATATCGAAGGGAAAATGTCTTGAAAGGAATTATATCAGTGACCGGATTGATTAGGTTTCAGTGTATAACTAAAGTATGAGTACATGAATGAGTTGTCGTTCACCTGCTCTTGTCGGTCAGTACGCAAACGATTCAATACTATTCTATTTTTGAATTTCATGATCCTTAAGCTTACCACGAACTAAGTCACGTGGGATATAACGAATTTTGGTCACGTGGTGTAGATTTGCAGCGTGTGCATGTGGAGTGGGTCTTGTGTCTATTTACAGTTTAATGGTTGCCACGTTGTGTCAACTACGTAATAAACACATAAAAAGCCAGTTTACCTGTTCTGTTATGTCTACCTATATTTACCTCTTAAGCACGAGACGGTGGCAGATCGTCGCCCTTGAACATGGCGTACACGTCTGCGCTGGAGCAACTATAGTAATTTTCCTAACTTTGTTAGGAATCATCGTTTCAAGATAACTTAATAAATCTTGATCACAGAAAAATATAGTCAGTCATTTGAGCTTTAAGCTTAATATGTTACGAATTCAACAGTTTGGACATATGACCATCGATCAATACATTTTGCGTGCTGTAATGACATCCAGATCATTTCCCAAGAGAATCTTCAAAAGATTTCCTCAAAGGACGCTGTCTGTTCGATTTTTCCAGCGTCAATTTTCTACTAGCCTTAATTATTGTTTCACTGACAATCTAATTACCTTAATTATATACTGTCTGTAGCATGGCTGCCAATGTCCTCTTAAAGGTCACTGTACCCCAGAGTAACGCGTTTCCCCATATACAGTAGCCTCTCTTTAAGTTCCGTTTGTTACACAGCTGAGTCAGGACACCTTTCGGTGGTCAGGTAGCTCAATCCGTATAACAAGTCCACGGTTCGAAACCTGGCGTAGCTTCCCTGAATTTTTACACTCAAAACACTCTTTGATTCTTCATCTTAATTATTTCTCATAAGAGGCCGTCATGGTATGGTTTTTCTTTCAGAAATGGTTTTAAAAAAACAGTAGTCATTCGAGAAGAAAACAGTTTCCAACACTTCATTACAATTTTGTGCAGTAGCATGGGGATCCTAAGGAATATCAGCAGTTTATAGTAACAGGATACAGCAAAGATACACCTCCGGAACACCTGGTCTCATTCACTTTGTAAATGGTCTCCATGCAAAGCTTTTCCTTTGTCCATAGTTTTATCGATTTTGCGTTGGAATGATGGTGTTGTTGACTCTTTGGTATTTTCGTGTTGTTTAAAGAATACATAAAAAAAATAAACATATTTAAAAACACACAAAAAACAAAATAGTTATATTGAACAGCAAAAATTATTTGTTCAACAAACAAAATATTTATGTTCAATAAAAATAGATGTCATCTATAAATTTATATGTTAGCTAAAATGTATTCAATGAAAAATATACTTCATATAATGTATGTATAATGAAGTGATTATATAAATCTATATTCACGTGCAACAAAAAAAATATTGGCATTTCGTAAGCAGCTTGATTTAATGGCGTGTTTGATTGGAAGAATGGGAAAATACGATCATTTGAACTCAATAATTAATTCACTTTCCGCCTTGCGGAAAACAATTGGCTATGGTTCTAAATATTGTTCTAAATGAGGAAATAAGCCACAATTATAACTCAAAGTCGTTCATAAAACTATAGCCTTTTTCTGCGCTGTCCAATCAAACGTACCATTACAGCGAGTTGTCCGATTAGTTCATACGATGGTAAACACAACACATGCATAAAATATTCCACATAGTGTAGATATATTACAATATTGTATATTGCATTTTTGTCCTTATACATTTATTTACCTCATTTTCCTTTAACTATCACTATTCACTCAGTTTAGCGTCTGTTTATAATACGATAGTAAACCACAAGGCAAATGACTAATAGAATCTTCCCCTAACTTGAGGGTGTAACAAAGAAATCTCCAACCCTCGGATGATATTCTCGAATGTCTTACCCTCGGCAAAACTTCGGGTAAGATTATCAAGAATGTCATCCATTGGATTGGGGATTTTTCTGTTACACCTTCAAGGTAGGGGATGATTGTTTTTCTCTAATCCTGTTTCACTCAAAAATCCGCCGACAAGCGTTGATTGCAAAAAATATATGCGCTGATTGCATTATAGCGACGGGGTTCAGCGATCTGACTGGTCAGTACTTGTGCCGACTTCAAACCGCAGACTTCAATTATTTCTTGAAAAAAAGCAACTTCCCTTTACCGGTGAATATGATATTATGCTTGAAAAGTCTCAGCACTAAAACAATTATATGCTGAACCAATGTATCGGTTTGAAAGGAAATAATGGAACAGTAACAGTTCTATAAAACAAACGCGCCGATAACTGCAACATGTTGTCTTCGTTTGACTAGAAGGTATTCGCTCGTATAATCTTTCTACTAATTATTACTCTTTTTGTAACGTCTCCTCATTCTAACAATAATGCATATAAATATTTTCTAAACACCATTCATGGGCTTATTTCGTCGGAGAAAACGTCGAACCAGGGACCATGTCCAGTATTCTGATGTCGGCAAGCCAGCACAGATAGCAGAATAGTTTAGTGTTTAAATGTTCTTCCTTGCCTTTATTGGTTCGTTTGTTTGTTTGTTTGTTTTAGGTGTTACGTCCTCAGAACAGCTAAGGTCCAATGGACACTGGTGCTTAAGGTGACGACTCCGGTTAAAAAGGGTTGAAAGCGAGAAAAGAAAAGATAAATATCCCAAGTATGGGCAGCAGATCAATATAGATTTTGTCAATGGCTCAATATCCCCCCGTCCTGTGTTAATCATTTCCCAATATTTCGGAATACCGAGTTCTACATTTATTAGCTCACCTGGTCCGAAGGACCAAGGTGAGTTTATGCCATACCGTGGCGTCCGTCGTCCGTCCGTCCGTACGTCAACAATTTCTTTAAACGACTTCTTCTTCTTAACCACCGGTTGGAATTAAACTAAATTTGACTGGAAGCATCCCTAGGTGGTGGGGATTCAAAATTGTACAAATGGTGGGGCTGACCCCTCAGGGGGCTGAGATGCGGGTCAAAAGGGGTCAATTTGCCAATATTGCTTTAAGCGACTTCTTTTCTGGAAATAAGAAGTGGATATCAACCATATTTGACTGGAAGCATCCCTAGGTGGTGGTGATTAAAAATTGTATAAACGGTTGGACTGACCCCCCAGGGGGCTGAGGGGCGGGGCCAAAAGGGGGCAATTTGGTTATATTGCTACAAACGACTTCTTCTGTAGAACTGTGCACTGGATATCAATCATATTTGATCAAAAGCATTCCTGGGAGGCAGGGATTTAAAATTGTACAAATGGTGTGGCTGACCCCCCAGGGGGCTGAAGGGCAGGGCCAAAAATGGTAGTTGGCTATACTGCTTTAAGTGACTTCTTCTCTGGAACTAAGCGATGGATATCAACCTTATTTGACTGGAAGCATCTCTAGGTGGTGGAGATTCAAAATTGTACAAACGGTTGGACTGACCCGCCAGGGGGCTGAGGGGCGGGGCCAAAAGGGAGCAATTTGGTTATATTGCTATAAACAACTTCTTCTCTGGAACTAAGAAGTGGATATCAACCATATTTGCCTGGAAGCATCCCTAGGTGGTGGTGATTAAAAATTGTATAAACGGTTGGACTGACCCCCCAGGGGGCTGAGGGGCGGGGCCAAAAGGGGGCAATTTGGTTATATTGCTATAAACAACTTCTTCTCTGGAACTAAGAAGTGGATATCACCCATATTTGACTGGAAGCATCCCTAGGTGGTGGGGATTCAAAATTGTACAAATGGTGGGGCTGACCCCCCCGGCTAAGGGGCGGGGCCAATAAAATGTATTACTTGGAAATGGTTGAGATCCCCACCATATAACCATATATACAATTGCTGAGTATAAAGAGAAGAACGTACGTTTGCTTCCAGGATGTCCCTAGGGTCTGGCCCCACCCTTGGAGACATAGTCCCTGGGCCATAACTTTAAAACGGTTGAGATCCTCACCCCAAAACTATATATACAAATGCTTGGCATAAAGAGACGAATTCAATTATGATATCAGAATAGACCCTGGGGTCTGACCGAACCCCTAGGGACCTAGTTTCTTAGTCACAGCTTGGAAACAGTTGAGAGCCCCACCCTAAAGCCGTTGATATACAATTGCTGAGTATAAAGAGATGATTGCACATATGCTTCCAGGTTGGCCTTGGGGACTGCCCAACCCATGGAGACTTAACCCCTGGGTCATAACTTTGAAATGGTTAATATCCCCACCCCAAAACTATATATACAAATGCTTGGCAAAAAGAGACAAATGCAGTCAAGATATTAGAATCGATCCTGGGGTCTGGACACAACTCTAGGGGCCTAGTTTCTGAGTCAAAGCTTGGAAACAGTTGAGATCCCCACCCCATAACCATACATAAAATTGCTGGGCATGAAAAATCTAATATAGCTATGCTACAAGGATTGGCCATGGGGTCTGGCATATTCCCTTGATCTCATTTGGAGAATAGTTTGCCATGATTGCTTAGGTATCCAGGTGAGCGATACAGGCCCTCTGAGCCTCTTGTTTATATATATCCCATTTTATTACATTTGCTTCCATTGGCCTGATCCAATTTTTAAAAAGACCAGTTTCACAGTGAATATCGTTTTATATTTCAAGCATCTAGGGAAATCCCCTTCAACCTGTGGCACCACATGCGAAGAAACCATCGAACACATATCTGTTAAGCATAACTAGAGGAAAAGACCATTGACTATGGCTTTCAAACTATGATGCTGAAATGGACAAATATACACGGAGGCTCGTTAAGATAAAGATAATATATTCAAAACGTCTACTCTTATACCAGTAAAACATGGATTCATTAGATATTAGGATGGCTTTGATGACAATCACGGTGCAGAATTTCCGAAGTCAAAAGGAGCGTTCTAACCCATGTCTATGGAAAAGGAAGGAGAGTTATTGACCACCACAAACCTTGTTGGTCTTGTTTTTTATTTTATTTTTGAAGCAAATAACAACAAAAAATCGACTTTTGTGCTGGTTAATGTCATATGGTAAGAAACCAATAAAATTATTTGACCTCTACTTCGCTCAATATCACTTTTTTGGTTTATATCATATCGTATTCACCAGTACAACCTGAAACAATTGTATAATAAAAAAAGAACATTTGTTAGTCAAACCCATTCCCCCATGCAAATGTAACTAAATATATATTTTCGTCTGTTTCAGTACCTGAAAGGCAACATGACCAAGGTCATTCAATTATTAGGCCGGTTCTTTACGA